GGCCTATCAAACATCCAATAGCTATATGACCAGAACTACCCTTCAGGACCTGAGTATTGTGAAGCTGTGTGCTAATAGCAGGAGTAGTCCAATGAAAAATAGAAATAAAAGGGAGCACATCCAAGTCCAGAAGTCACAAATCAGTTACTTGAACAAGTGGCTCCAATCTACCTGTTGTGTTTCTTTTCTCAAACATTTATCCAGCTGATGTTGTTGGAGAAATACTAAAAATTGGTTGCATTAGTGGAGCTGTAAATGGACTATGACTACACTGTGGCCTGTTTCATGGGGTGGCACATAAAGGAAAGTAGTGAAAAGAATCCCAGTACATACATTCAATCATATTTGAATAGACTCTTAGATACAGACAAATGGATGATCTTGAGCAACAGTAAGTGATGTGATTGATTTGTGTAAAGGCCTGGAAGACAGAATTTTTGAAGTTCAATAACAGGGATCTGGGGAGAAAGTATGTAAAGGGACCTACTGAGGTGGCCATAAAGAGTATGGCTCTTTGTGTCTAATATCTATGTCTATTTGTGTCTCATATCTACCACCGAAAAAGAGCCCAACAATGACAGGCATGGTAGCACATGCTTGTAACCCTACAACTCAGGAGGCTGAGGCAGGACAGCCTAGGTTAGTAGCAAGAACCTGTCCTCAAAAAATGAAGTCCCAACAAAAGAACTAAGCAATATAGACAACGTAGCAGATATATTTTTCAATGTTGTCCACCAATATCTCCCATGTATATTTGTTTCTTATAATATGACCCTGGCACTCTTATTCAGTGGTCGAATCTGTGTTCCTTAAACCTAGGAAGACCTTTGTCACCTCCTCCAACAGAACCTGGTAGAAATGATCTGTAACTTCTGAGGTTAGGTATTCAAAATTCTATGCATTGCTGCTGTTATTCCTTTGAGATGCTCTGGGGAAGCCACAGTGCACACAGAGGAACCACAGATCTGCTGTGGCCCCAGGAATGGAACAAAGGCAAGTCATCCCTACTATGTCCTCTCTGACTCCCTGACCCACAAAATTCATTTAAGGAAAAACAAGAACAAAAACTTTGCTGAAGCTTTTGTTGAATTGCGGAGTTTTTTTTATGTTGGTTTGGGTTTTTGTTTGTTTGTTTGTTTTTGTTTGGGGTTTTGTGTGTGTGTGTGTGTGTGTGTGTGTGTGTGTGTGTGGCCACAAGAGGGAAACCTTGTACTATGATAAGCCAAGAAGTTGTGGAAACTTTGCTTTGACAGCTAGAATGGCAATGAATTTTTTTCTTTCTTCCAACAGGGCCTGGTGACATCATGTGACTAAATTATTTTTGTTTATCTCTTATTTAAAATGTGTATAGGCTCTGTAAAGATCCCTTGTTTAAAAGAGGAAAAATAGAATCTGTAACTGTAATTTTTGGAATGAGAAAACCATGGTAATTGCATAGTTGAGTTGGAACTATAAAAGGAAACAGTACTTTTTGTCCAGTGGGTGACCGTAGTGGGTCCACCTCTAGATGCCAGTTCTTGAGGACCCTAGCAAGCAATATCCACTGAAGCAGAAAACACACAGCTAGTGGCTATTCCTGTATGCTGCTGAAGCTTTTCTGAGTGAGGCTGGGACTAGTGTTTTCTGGACCACAGCAGTAGTGTTGCTTAAACCTCCTCACTCATTTGGGGAACACTGTAGTGAACTTAGAAATATGGGAGCTTTCTGGAAGTCATATTCTGTCATCTCCTATGCCATTGATACTTCACTTAATATAATTTTTTCAATGTTCTAAATACTTATAAAAGTTATGGTACAATGTGCATGATGTATCATTTACTATCTTAAGTATATAGTTCATTAAGAAGATTCACATGATTTTTGCAACCATCAGCATGACCATCCATTTCTACAACTCTTCTCATGTTATAAAACTGAAACCCATTGTGTAAAAATGGGTTTCTCTCCTCTCCCCAAGCCTGGCAACCACCATCTACTGTCCTTTTCTGTGAACCTGACTGTCTATGTACTTCATATAAGTTTAATCATACCATGGCCTTTGGCATTGGCATTTTTGCTTAAAATAATATCCTCAAAATTAATCCATGTGTCAGAATGCTCTTACTTTCTGAGACCAAATAATATTTTCTCTTATACTCTTAAGAGGGTATCATGCAAATGCCACCATGACATCTGTCGATATAATCTTGTTGCTAGCTATTTTACTTGTCTCTTGTGAGTTCAGTAGTCAAGAAACACCTTAGAGCCCTTCATCTCTAAAGCTCTCTAGGAGAATTGTTTGTTTCTGAGATAGCTGAGAATAATTATTTTTTGTAGTATGGGGGTTTTGAACTCAGGACCTTGTACTTGTTAGGGAGATGCTTAAGCCACACCTTTAGTCCTATTTTATTTGATTATTTTTAAGAAAAAGTTTCTCTCTTTTTTATTTTACCTGGCATAGACAGAATGACTGACATGCACCTCCACACCAGCTTTTTCTGTTGAGATGGGGTCTTGCTAACTTTTTGCCAAAGCTGGCCTTAAACCTCAATCTTCCTGATTTTAGTAGCTAAGTAGCTACTAAAATGTGACCCATCACACCCGACTTGGATAGCTAAGAACTTTTATCTCCTTCCTTGAAGCAATAGGGTGTAATACTAAAAGTGTAAGCTATGCTAAAATCCTGGTGTTGTCATTTATTAGATTAGATTTTGGACAAATTGCTGTTTATTTGTTTTTTCTTCAGCTGTAAAATGGAGCCAAAAATAGAGTTTGTCAAAGGAGTAATAAAATTAGTACATAAAGGCCTATGAAGCAGTTTCTGGCCACAGTTGGCACTAAATAAATATTAAACATTCTTGCCTGTCCATACTATACCCTACTATTTCACCTGCTGAAACACTGTGGGAGAGAACACTCACTATTGTGCAAGTGCAAAAACGGAAGTTTAGAGAAGTAATTTTCTCAACATATAACCACAGGTAAGTAGAAGAGCTGAGATTTTCTTTCTGGCAGTCTGACACTAAAGCCTTCCTAACATCTGAACATTTTCTGTATTGGAGATTCTTGTTTGTCAGAGTAAATGACAAGGACAGAGCTGTCTTTGTCAAGGAAAGGTAATTTCATTAGCACTAGTAGGCAAGCAGACTTGAAACTAATCCATCTGCTTTCCCCATTGTGTCTCACATCCCATGAATGAGGAGCAGATGTGAACATTGCTGCCAGCCACTCACTTGTCACAAGGAGAACTGACTTGGCTAAGCTCATTACAAAATTAAGTTCTTGGACTTGATGGTTTTAACAAGATGTGTGAAATGTAGCTCTCTGTAGGATTTAGAAACTTTAATTTAAAAAGTGCCTTTGATTCTAATAAAAATCCATTTTTTTTACTCACAGTAAGATAGCAAAGAAAAATAAGTCTCAGAGGAAATTTTCATTAGATGATCCTGGATTGCAGCACTGCAGAGAAGTGGCTGAAGAACTTATTAAACTGGGATGATGTGCCCATTTGAATTTAACTTTTATAGCACTTATCTCAGGAATTAACAAAATTTTCAGATGATGAAACTCATTAATAGATTTACAACATAGTCATATTTTAAAGAAACGTGTATGTTTTATGTTTTTTATGCTTCATGATGTCTAGTAGTATCAGTATCAGTAGTATCAATATCACCTCAGGGCTTTGGGCATGGTAGTCAGACATACAATTTGAGCTCCAGCCCTTTATAGAGGTTATTTGGATATAGTGATGGTAGTTTGGTCTTGTTAATCCAACATTCTGTGCTAACTTTCTATTCTTCTATGCCTGCATCTCCTATGTATGCCATTCTGTTTACCTTTGTAATTCTGTTTGCCAATTACAAAAGCTATGACTATGATGTAAATGTCTTTGGTTGTAGAATAAAACTGAACTATTTGGGCTGTGGGCTTGAGCTTGCAGCATGATGGCTTAAACAAGTTAAGTTAACCACTCAGGCTGGTGGTACATAGATGCTCCTTGTATAATTCAAATAGTTCCTGTATCACATTCCTGTTATGGACATTAGAGGGCCTGTGAAGTCATCACAAAGTGTTCCTTCCTTATCAGTGGCTTCTTAAGGCCCTTAGGAACATATCTGTTCCTGTTCTGTAACTCCTCTCACCACTCTCATGATTTGGCTTTATTGTGGCAAATAGAAAGGAGAGTGTGAAGATTAGATTCTCACTGGAGAAGAAATGGCCTATAGCATTGTTTTCTTATAAAGTCTTTGACAGACACAGTGGCTAATATTTGTTATTAACAGAATAGGTTTTTTAGTTGGGCATTTTTCCACAATACACATAGAGTTTCTCACACTGTTTTGTAGAATATTGTGATGAAGTAGCTAATTTGGTCAATATATGTGGGAGGGAAGGATCTAAGTAGTTGCTGGATTGAGGGTTCTTTTGTGTGTGTGTGTGTGTGTGTGTGTGTGTGTGTGTGTGTGTGTGTGTTGCCAGTCCTGGGGCTTGAACTCAGGGCCTGGACACTGTCCTTGAGCTTCTTTTGCTCAAGGCTAGCCCTCTACCACTTGAGCCACAGTGTCATTTCTGGCTTTTTCTGTTCATGTGGTACTGAGGAATCAAACCCAGGGCTTCATGCATACGAGGCAAGCACACCACCAAGCCACATTCCCAACCCATGCATTGAGTTGTTGTTTTTGTTTTGTTTTAAAGAACAAAACCCCATCATTTTCCTTTCTTGCCTTTTCTACCTTTCCCCTGGCTAGAATATAATTGTGAGGGTTATATTCTACCATGAAGAGGAGGACAACACACTTGAGATGGGAAAGTAGCAAGACAAAAATTATCTCTGGGGTGTGATAGGAGTCCTAGACTATGTATGTTCAGGGTGTTATGTCAAAAAAGAGCAAAATGTCCTGTTTGAACCATGATTAGTTTAGGCTTCTAGTTAAGCAGCTAAATATTAAATGAAGGATTAAAAAAAGCATATCATATCTAACTTATAGTGTTAACTAAGTGATACAAACAAGAAGAGACACTTTTAAAGGTATTTAATAACTTTTTCGAATCAGTACAAAAATTTCAGTACAAAAATGATTTGCCATTGAGTCTCATTTATCATGGAAACTCAAACAAGTTACCAGTCTGTTCACCATTCATTGTGTTCTGCAAAATATTTGAGGATAGTCACTCTTTATAAACATTCTTTTCCCCTGAGGGATATACTGCATTAAAATTCTGTGTTTAAATAAGAACAATGCCAGTTTGGTCCATTTCACATGGAAATGTTCTAGTTAGTTTTCAACTAAATGGTGATCATAATACTATCTCTAGACTTTAGAATATATAGTTGTTTTATCTACTTTCACAACAACATGTTAACATGATGTGCAACACTCAAAAGGAAACCAGGCACATAGATAATTATTTAAAACTCTTTTTTAAATTAAATGAAGTATCATTTAGCTCTGAGATTAGCACCATTGTAGAATACACAGTATCTGGCATAATTTCTGCTCCTCTTACATCTAAAAGTTAGGAGCATATGCCTGATAATATACATAAACACATACACACATATATAGGCAATTGAATAACAACCAATAAATAAGTTGGAAGATATTTTTAAAGTGAAATTTGGTTTTAACTAGAGATAATTTCTCTCTTGTTTGATGGAAATCAAAAGCTCATACATGTACAGATAAGTATAATTTTATAAATCAGGTTGCCTGACCTGCTTCCATGCCATTTCAATATAACTATTTAACAGAAGGAGCCCACTGAATCTACCTTCATCGTCACCAACCCTAAAGCAGCACCCTTAAGACCAACTCAGAGGATATCTGGCCACATTGATGCTGTTTGTCTTGAAAATAAAGGATGGGTAGGGCATCTTTTTCATGGTGAAAGTACTTTGTATAACTATTAGTAAATAAGAATGAAATAATTTGTCTTAAAAATTGAGAAGAAATAGTGCTTATATATCTGGGAAAGATATGTATAAGACCAAGTAAAAACTTTCTGTGATGGTAGGAATACTTCAGGCTTGACACAGGCCCATATCTCTGTGCTTTTATATTTTCCAATTTATATTTACCTCTTTCTCATGCTTTTAACTTTTGAGAAAAATATATAAGGTTTGACCACCATAGCCTCACAGCAGTCTTTGCTTAAAGTAGCAGGCTAACAGCAGAGCTTAAACAGTTGGTGTTTTGAGCAGTGCATATAGCTAAGACCTGGAAAGAAATATTTCTCACTTTCAAATTTGTTTAGCTGACTACGGGGTTACTAAAAGACATGGGGTGTTGTTGCCCTATGATGTCCTAGATACCTCCCCCTTAGGCCACTTCAGAAGAAGGGGTTTCCTACAACTGTAGTAACTATGGCTAGAAGTAGCACACTTGTTTTTTTAAATCTCAAACTTCATAATTATTTTAATGCAAATTTATTTGCCTATGTCATTTGAATTTTTTCTCAAATAAAAACAACCTGGATTTTGGAAATTGACCTTGTAAACTCCGATGACCCAGGTAGATTTCTTTGAAATTCACAGTTACTGAAAAAAAAAATCTCCAAGTCTTTTTGTTTGTTGTGGGGGAGGACAGAAAGAGAAATATTTAATGCATGTAAACATAAATGATATCTGCTATTAACAATATATTGGTTATTGGAGGAAGAGTTCTCTCTCTCTCTCATCATTTCCAGGTGTTTTATTGATTAAGCTGTAGTGTAAATTACACAGAGGAAAGAAAAAAAACACACAAGGATAAATTTATTAATTTGTTGGTATCTCCCAGGTGGTTGTAAACTTTTTGTGGACTCTTTAGGCTCTATCCCAGCATCTCACCCAGTGCTCCACCTAGCACCCAGTGCTCCACCTAGAGAAGGTGCTGAGCAAATACACAATGGGCTATTGGTTGATCTCTTGACAAACAATTGTAGTAACCAGGACTCCCAGTGTTAAAGAACACAGACCTCTGGCACAGGCAACTATCCCTTCGACTAGAGAGGATTGCCTTGATAACCTAGGGCCCCCTCTCACAGAACAGTAATACTAAAGAACTCTCCTCCAACATTCCATGGCAAAGTATCTGCACAAGTAGAGTGGACTATGCAAGCTAATGTGGTATGTAATTACTATCATTGATGTTTCTTTAAGACATTTTCTTAAATCCTTTAAAGGAAACAACATGAGTATTACACTCATCTTTGATCTTGCAGACTGACATATTTTGACTGATGGGAATAAGTGGGTAATCATGGACGCATAAAACAAACAGATAATATGGGTCTAACACAAGTTGTGGAACTTGATGTATAAATTATTGCCATGGTTTTCAGGTACATGCTGCTGTGCATAGTATGAATAGACATCTTATTGTTGTTTTATTTTTAACATGGTATACCAAATTTTCACTTAAATAAAACTTTCCAACTATATAGTTTTGAAGCAATTATGTTTTCCATTTGGATTTTGGTGCATCATTTTCTTCTTTTCTTCTATTAAATCTCTTTTTTCATTCTTCTTTTTAAATTTTTACATCGGATACAATAAATATCCTGAAAAGGAGGAATGGACATACTGCCCAGCGTACAGTCCCGCGGCCTGTTCTGAGGGCATCTGGATGAACACCCGGTCTCCAGGCCTGAGCAGCAGCACAGCACTCCCAGATGCCTGGTCCAGAAAGCCCTTTTTGTACTCGTCGTAGGTGTACATCATGGGCTCGTTATTCTTGAACAGAGCAACCCACACGTTGCCCCCCTTGCAGTGGACATGGTATGCGAAGTAGTAGACACCGGGGATCTCACACGTGAAGATGCCCGTCTGCGGGTTGTAGTTCTGTCTGCCGTTGTAGAGTAGCTTGTCAAACTTCACCGGAGCTCCCACCGGGGGGAAAGGAGTGGTCAACTCCGCGGTAAACGCAGGCATTTCATAAGGCCCTCCATTCTTCCCTTTCTTAGCCCCGTAAGCGTGAGGGGGTTTCAAGCCATCAATTCCGGGTCCCATATCTGGCAGATATTCTCCTTGGGGGGGTGGTGTAGGGGGCATCACGGCTGGGGGCCCTGGGGGCCCTGGAGGACCAGGGGGCCCGGGAAGGCCTGGTTGACCTTGAGGCCCAAGGGCACCAGGCTTCCCTGGAGGACCATGAAGTCCGGCCACTCCTGGCTTCCCCACCCCGGGGAACCCTGGAGGTCCTGGCAGGCCTGGTTCTCCTTTGGGACCCGGGATCCCAGGAGGTCCAATAGGACCACTAGGCCCCGCGATCCCTGGAATACCTTGGGGGCCCTGTAGACCCTGATCCCCCGGAATGCCTGGCTCTCCCTTAGGTCCAAGCAGCCCGGGAACCCCAGGAAGACCCGGCACTCCTTTGTGCCCAGCCTCTCCCTTGGGTCCTATGGGACCTGGCAAACCCCTCATGCCCGGGGGCCCTACTTCACCGAGGAAACCCGGCTTTCCCGGGAACCCTTGGAGCCCCGGCTCACCCTTGGGACCGGGGGGCCCCTGTGGCCCCACAACTCCACCTTCTCCTTTGGGTCCAGGGAAACCAATAGCACCCGGAGGGCCCATGGGACCCGGGATTCCAGGAAGGCCTGGCTCTCCTGGGGGACCTCCCATGCCAGGAGCACCCACTGGTCCTTTCTCCCCTCTTGGCCCAAGAGCCCCAGGAATACCTCCAATGCCCCGGTCACCCTTGGGGCCTGGAAAGCCTGGTTTGCCAACCCCTGGAAGGCCCGGGGGTCCCGGTAACCCCGGAAGTCCTTGTTCCCCTTTGCCACCTGGAAATCCTGGCTGGCCAGGGATCCCATCCTGGCCTGGCTTTCCAACTCCAGGGATGCCGGGTGGTCCTTGAACTCCCGGTATTCCCACAGGGCCTTGGGGGCCGGGTTCTCCTGGAGGCCCTGGCTTTCCCAGGGGACCCTGGGGCCCAGGGAAACCTGCCGCTCCTGGTTTTCCTATTCCTGGAAGTCCAACAGGGCCGGGCGGGCCGTGCATCCCCGGAGGACCCTTGAGACCCGGCAGTCCCGGCATCCCGAATCCCTTCTCTCCTTTAGGACCCTGGAGGCCTGGAGGTCCCGGCGGTCCTTTGGGTCCTCGTTCACCCTTGGCTCCTGGCTGTCCTGGAAGTCCTGGCCCACCTGGCTTCCCAACGCCCGGCAGTCCGTGAGGCCCGGGAGGTCCTTGTGGTCCAGGGATCCCCATAGGCCCGATTTCCCCTTTGGGCCCCATTTCGCCTTTTGCCCCAGGCATTCCCATGGCGCCCGGCTTCCCTGGCATTCCAGGCATACCTGGCTTTCCGACTCCCGGATAGCCCTGGGGGCCTGGTTTTCCTTTGATTCCAGGGATCCCATGACCTGGCAAGCCCGGGGGCCCAGGCGGTCCTCTTGGGCCCGGCTCTCCCCGGGGACCTTGTTCTCCTCTTAAACTGGCTAATGGTATTTCTGTTGGGAAAGAGCAAAGAGAACAGAGTGGGGAAGGAAGAGAGAGAGAGAGGTTATTCCTCCTATCAAGAGAGCCATGACCATTGTATAGTCCTGATACCGTTACCGACTTTACTAATCAAGAACACAAGACTAGGAATAATATGCTCATCTTCTGGGGCTGCTACTTAAAGGCAAATCAAGCTGGTAATTTCTTGGGTATATTTTAGGTTTTATTTTGAGAACTGATAATGTGCAGCTGCTTCTATCATTACTAAGTTCAAAAAATAATGAAGAACCATTTTTCAAGTACAAAACTTTATGATATTATGGTGTACTCATTACAGGGATTTGTCAAGTTCTAAAGTTGCCTATACGACCCTGACTCAAAGATAAAGATTTTACATCAATTGGTATTTTCATCTATTTGTTCTAAGTATCTGTGCGTTTTAAACAATGTAAATTTCTACACAATGTAGGAGTCATTCTTTTTCTACTTTAAAGTCATAGTGTATTTTTCCATGTTCTTTTGTTATTGCCGTTTAAAATTTTTTATGTAAATTGACAAATTGATGTATGTTTCTGGGTTACAAAGTGATATGTTTTTAATACAATGTGGAACAATTGAATCAAATGAATTCACATATCTATCACCTTTGTTGTTTATTTTTGTTCTGAAAACATTTGAAATTACTCCCAGCACCTCCATCAACTATATCAACCTCACAGACAGCAATAAAATATAAAGCCATACTCTTCTTGTCTGAGGCTCACCAGCTTCTGTGACACCACTCTTCTGTCTGTGTCTGTGAGTTCTGATTATTTTAGATTCCATATATAAGTGAGAACATGCAGCATTTGTCTTTTGGTTCTGACTGATTTTATTTTTAATTTTAGGACTAAATAATATTTTTCATGTGTTGCAGTACCATATGATGTGAGTGATGAAAATCATTATGTAGACTCTGGAAAGAAGGAAAGAATTATATTTTGTATGTGGCTGGGTAACACCTTTCTGCTAGTCTCCTAGAGGCAATAGATTTGCTTAATTATTCTGTTATCCAGGAGGATTTCCAAACTTCAAATGTTAATAAATCATTTATCAGGGAATGTGGCTTAGTGGTAGAGTGCTTGCCTAGCATGCATGAAGCCCTGGGTTCGATTCCTCAGTATCACATAAACAGAAAAAAAAAAGAAAACCCAAATAAATCATTTATCACATTATAACTGGGTTTTAACAGAAGTGATAGATATTTTGGGAAAACAAACAGTTTAAATAAGGAAAAAATGATTGGCTTAATAGCAATAAGCTCTGTTTATTTTTCTGGGCTTGCTGTGAAATTTAGGCCATTAGCCTCTCAAGCCATCAGTTTGCTTATCTTCACAGTAAGAATAAAACAGCCCCACTATGAGATTAGAGAATAGATATGAGATGTGTTACAATTTTTCAAATTGTTACTGAAATTCAAAGCACATGTTAGGTGATGCCATGGCTTTGCAAATAAACACAGTCTGAATATCCCTTGCTACTGAGAATAATTTGGTACTGGAAGCAATAAAAAAATATGGCCCCAAAGTTTATTTTAGCTATTAGTAGCATCGTAAGTCTGACCACTGTACTCTTTTGTATTGTTACTGTCAGGGAACAAAAAGGAAACATATAATAGACTTCATGTTTCATAGACCTCATTTGCTTTTCAAATAGAAGCACCATTCAGTTTCAGAAGGCATCAAAAGCCACCCATTCAAGAGAAAAAAAGAGAAAAAAGGCTGAGATGATCTCCTGGGTGACATACCAACTCATAAAAAAATTGGTTATATTTCTCTTATTTCAACCAACATTATCATTGGACCATGAAATAGTGTTATTTCAAAGCAGTCATTTGTACAGTTATTATTTCAAGGAGGTGTATGGAAAAGGGCCCAGTCTTTATTTATTTTGAGATAGGACATCATGAAGTTGTACAGGCTGGCCTCAAATGTGTGATCTCTTGTCTCAGCCTCTTAAGTGCTGAGGTTACAGGTATGTAACCACACTCATTAGTCAGGAATTCTTGGTGTCTACTGCAGTTCCTGGAACATCCACTGGGTTCTGACTGAAGATCTATTGAACAGCTGGTGGCAGCAACTCAAAGATCCCAGGTGCAGCTAGAATTTACTCAGCGCTATTTACTTCATGTCAAAGAGTCTCTCAACACTATTTTAAATATGAAGAAAAAAGTGGATCAGGGAGGTTAATGACTAAATCACTCTTATTTCTTGGATTGAGGCATCTAGTTTCTTATGGCCAAATTTATGGTGTTTTGTTTTGTTTGTTTGGTATAGATCTTGGACTTGTAGTCAGGGCCTGGACTCTGTTCTTGAGCTTTTTTTTTTTTTGCTCAAAGCTAGTGCTCTAACACTTAAGCCACAAGTCCATTTTCATATTTCCAACTTTTTTTTCTTGGTAGTTAACTGGAGATACTAGTCTCCAGTTTGGGCTAGCTTTCCAGTCTGGGCTAACTTCTAGCTGTGATTCTCACATCTCAGCCTCCAGAGTAGCTACAATGACCAGTGTGAGCCACCAGCACCAGTCCCAAATTTAGTTTTGCGACAGAGACGGAGCTTCCTTCTGCAGTGAGAATTGGTGGACCCGACCTCTACTTTCTCAAATGTGATTGGTCCTCTGCAGCCCCTGATTTTCCTACAAATGTTGCTTCTCTGAGAACTCCAGATAAGCCAACTGAATTTATAGGAAATTGTCTTAAAGTGATAAACATTTTGTAGGTGTTGCATAATGAACGGGTCAGGTGATGGTGGTCAGAGCTGTAATTCTAGCTATTCCAGAGACAGTGAGGGTAAAGACTGTGATTCAAGGGCAGCCCAAACAGAAAAGTTCAGGAAATCCTATCTCAAAAAATAACCTAAAAAGAAAAAGAAAACAAGACTGGAAGCATGACTTGTATGGTAGAGTGTGAGCCTAGCAAGTGTAAGGCCCTGAGTTCAAATCTCAGTACTGCAGAAAGAAAAACAAAGACAGAAAAAGGAAAGGCAGAACGGAGGGAGAGAGGAAAAGAGGAAGTAGGGAAGGAGGGAGGAGGGAAGAGAGGAAGAAAGGAAGGGAAGGAGGAAATGTGGGAATTGTTTTCAAGCATCCTCTCTAGATGCAGTTTATAAGTAGGTTAGTCTGTGCTGATTTGTATGTTATCAGTTATGTGTATTATATCATGACTTTTCTTTTACTACATCAGATCCTTACACCATTGTTCTCTTATTCAGAAGACTAACTTGTTATCTTTTTGTTTTTAAATTCACTTCTTCATCCTCCAGTATCTGGCCCAGAGTCAGATACAAAAATAGATGTTCACTAGATAGATGCTGAATATCTGAATAAATACATAATTTATAAAGCAAGAAGGTGTGGTTAAATATATTTTGTCTCATCTGTGCTGGTTAAAATCAAAGCAAAACATAGAAGTGTAAATTAACTTTTTTTTGTGATGCTGGGGATAGAGCATAGGTACGTTTCTTTAAGACCTGAATTTTTCAAGAATTGAGTTCAGAAATAAACAACTTTAAAATAAGAGCTTCCAAAATGTAGTTTTCCCACCACCTCCATAGTTAAGGTGGCCGGAAAGCTCCGGCTTGTAGCAGCATGCAAATAGCAGGTTACCTTTGCCTTTCTTGGGTACCACTTCCTTGGCCATTCTTGGTGCTGGTTGAATTTCCTTCATATACTGGGGTAGGTGTGGATACTCTTTGCCATATTGCATGTGGGGCAGCTCCTTGCCCATGGCGAGGCCATCTTTGCCCAAGGGCATGTGAGGTACTTGCTGGCCCAAGGGCTGGTACTGTGGAATTTGTGGTGGCATCTGAGGAGGAATTTGAGGTGGCAGTGGCTTGATTCCATAATAGGCCCCAGCCTGAATGAGCCTGATGGAGCTCAGGGCAATGGTGAGCAGCACTCCCAGCAGCTGTGGAGGGCCAGGCAGCACAGCCATCACCTGTGGAGGAAGGAATGCACCATCATAGTGAGAACCAGTAGGCCAAAGGACTGGTGTCTATTTAGAGACAGAGTGGGGCAAATGATATGAAGATGCTACCTCTTAACAGAAAAACAAGCAAATAAATCAAACTGGGGTATACCAGATGGCAACAACTGTAAGAAAGTAGGCCATAGCACAGCTTTTAGTTGATTCTAAATATCACTTCTACCCTTTCCCCATAGTTTTGGAACCTTGAATCCAGCCAGGAATCAGTCGCCCAAGGATTTAAAAAGCAGGTGGGTGTGTTCCTCCCCGATCCCTCCTTGGTTGAAATACTGACATGTTGCCTGGGAATGTTCTAGGCATCTTGGACCATGACGAGAAAGCTGTTGAAGCTAGAAGAGCAATAAGCTAGTGACTTTTTTCATCTTCCAAATGCCTTTTGAATGCCTTTACATAGTCATAAACAAACATAAATGTAACTGTACAATAAATGTAACTACAAGAACTGTACATACATAAACTGTACAATAAAAACACCACCAACAAAACTGTAGAAGTGCTCTGAATTTTTCCAAAATGCTGTTTTACTTTATTTTGTGTTTTGGTGATGCTGGTTTTAGACTCAAAGCTTTGCCCTTACCAGCCAAGTATTCTTGAGCTATGCCTCCAACCTCTTTTTGTTCTGGTTCTTTTTGGAAGCCTTTTTCCCTTGGCCAGCCTAGACTACCATAGCTGGGATGACAGGCATGTCGCAATTACACCCCAGATTTTTCTCTCGAGATGAGTCTCACCAGGTTGTGTTTTTGTTTTTCTTCCTGATTTGACATAGAATCATGGTCAGGACCCAAATGCCGCTTAAACAATCATTATCATGACTATATACTTCTTCGCCTCTGCCTCCCTCTCCTTCTCCTCCTTTTTGTCGGTTGTGGGACTTGAACTCTAGGCTTGGGCGCTGGTTTGCCCTCTTCAGCTCAAGGCGAAAGCTCTACCGATTGAGCTACAGTGCCACTTCCGTTTTTTTTTCTTCTTCTAGTGGTGTGTTGGAGATAAGAGTCTCACTGAGTTTCCTGCCCAGTCTGGCTTTGAATCAAGATCCTCAGATCTCAGCTTCCTGAGTAGCTAGGAATACAGGCGTGAGTCACCGGTGCCCAGCTCTTTCTTCTTCTTAAATACTATTAATTCATGCCACTAGTTTATAATTTGGTTAATTGGACCTGGAATCCATTAGAGTTTATCTTTGAACTTATATGGAAGAAAGGGATTAACGAAATCAATTAGTTGTATAAATAAGATAGAGGGATGTGTTTGACTATTTACAATGCTAAACTGTTTCTAAGCCTTTTAATAGCACTCTTTTCAAATCAGGTGGGGGGAGTCAATAGAATAAATGGGGTTTATCTGTTTAAAAAAACTAGCTTGAGAAGACCTCTGGAAATATCCTGCGGCCCAACAGTACAAGAAAGTGCAGTGTAGGCAAATGCACACTAGGGGGCAGGTGTGGCACACACTGACTTCAGTTTCTCCTACTTCCACCCCTTCATATCCAGGTAGGCCTTAGACTGAGTGAACTTCATACCTTAATAAGGAAGGGAGAGGGAGAGAAAGGAGAAAAGGAGAGGGATGGATAAGAGCAGAGAGGGAGAAAGGGGAAAAGAAGAGGGGAAGACAGGGGGAGGAGAGAAAGAGTGGATTTCAAAATCAAAATCTTTATGTAAGTATCTTCTGGAACACTTTGAGAAAAATTTTTGCCTCTGAGCAATTTAATTTCCATTTTCTTAGGACTTTGTTTTCTTTATTTTTGTCTTACTTAATTCTGGATCATAGTTTTCCACTTCTTAAAAAATGTGCATTGAATTTGTGACATCCTATTCAAGGGTAATGCCAAGAGTGTGAACAGGCTACAGAAGAATTGGTTAATAAAAAGCACCTAAGAAAATATTTAATATGAATCTCTATCACAAAATTGACTGCTCTCCAATTTTTCTTTTTTCTTTTTGTCGGTCGTAGGGCTTGAACTCTGGGCCTGGGTGCTGTTCCTTAGCTCTTTAGCTCAACACTAGCGCTCTACCATTTGAACCACAGTGCCATTTTCAGTTTTCTGGTGGTTTATTGGAGATAAGAGTCTCATAGAGTTTCCTTCCCAGGATGGCTTTGAACTGCCATCCTCAGTTCTCAGCCTCCTGAGTAGCTAGGATTACAGGCATAAGCCTGGCATCTCCAATTTTTCTATACCAGCTAATCTTTTTTTCTCCTTCAGGGAAAAATATGAAGAAACATTTGTTAGCAAAATGATTTATAAAACATTCTTCATTTCATAAATCATGATAGTCTAAAGAACTGTTTATTTCAAGTATATGTATACTAATATACATGCTGGTAAATTAGGAGCACATAGAAAGCTGTTATTTTCTATTTCTCTAAGAATGCTTGCTATAAATCATTTGGAAAAATTCACAACATTAATATTGATTTATACTCATTAATAGTAAAACTTTATGTAGAAGAAAGAATCTTTTCAATAATAATTTACTAATTTTTTACTGGAAATAGTATGAAGTCCACTCAGATATTACAAAGAGGAATGTAAGAGGCTCTACCATCAAGAAATTTAGTGGGCATCAATAGTGAAGGATATTTCTTAAATTTAATTGTATTGTCAAGGTGATGTACAGAAGAGTTGCAGTTACATATGTGAGGTAGCAGAGTACATTTCTTGTCATTGTTAGCTCCTCCCTTGTTTTTCTCCCACTTCCCTCTGCCCCCAATGCTCCTTCCCAAAGTTGTAAAGGATATTAAAAAAAAAAAGTTCTCTCCTTCTTATCTTCTTTACCATGTCTTCTCTTGAAGGGCACTGATGACTCCTACCTATAACCCTAGCTACTCAGGAGGCTGAGATCTGGAGGATCATGATTCAAAGCCAGTCCTGGCAGAAAGATCTGAGAGACTCCATCTCAAAACAGCCAGTAAAAAGCCAAGTTGGAGGCTGGCTCATGTGGTAGAACACTAGCTAAGCAAGAAAGATGAGCAAACTTGAGGACTTGAGTTCAAGTCCCAGTAGAAAACAACAAAACCAGAAAGGACTTTCCCAGAGACAGTCTATGACTATTCAGTATAATATATAACCCCTTAAAACACAAATTACAGCACACACACATATATAAAATTTTTAACTAAAAATTACTACTTAGGCCTATTTCTTATTCAATTATAAGTATCTGAAGATCCCTTCAACGTTTTGTTAAACATAAGACTTAGATCTTTCTCTGTCTCTCTGTCTCTGTCTTTCTTTCTCTCTCTGTATACTGGAGTTTGAACTCAGGGCTTTGAGCTTATTCATCTTGCAGAACTGGCACTTGATCTACACTTTCAGCCTGGCATTTTGCCAGTTATTGTGGAGTTGGAGTATAGTGTACTTTTCTGCCTGGGCTGGCAGAACTACTATCCTTTGGATCTCAACTTCCTGAGTAACTACTATTACAGGTGTGAGACATTGGCATGTGGCTTAGTTTTTTCTTTATGCTCCATCTGGCCCTATCATTCAATGTCTCTAAGTACTTACTAGAGAATTGAACTTGTTTCTCCATTCCATACCTCTATAGTAAGAGCTAGGCCTTGATTCTACTTTGGGAGATTGATGAGATAAATTATTGAACCCTAAACCTTGTGGTGATTGTCTTCAATAATAAGCCAGCATGCTTGGCCTTTCACCTTTTGGTTGATGCTGTAAAACTGTTGGATTATACTTAATAACCTTTTCATTTTATTTTATTGTAAAGGTGATGTGCAGAGAGGTTAGTTACATAAGTCAGGTTATGAGTACATTTCTTTTCAAACAACCTCACCTCTTATGTTTCCTTCCAGTTGTCCCCTCCTGATTGCCCTTCTCCACAAGTTGTATAGTTCATTTTCAACATGGTGTCTAGAGAGTATCACTGCTGATTTGTTCATCCTTTGTCCTACTACTTTTGTTCACCCCTTTCCCTCCCAAATCAGATAAACTTACATACAAGACAAAAGGTACAGAAATAGAAAGCAGCGACAAAGGAGAAAGAAAACCCAAAATGCAAAAACAAAAACAAAAAAAAAGCAAAATAACAAAAAACCTCTTGTTTCCCTTTCTTGGAGTTCAATTTGATAAACATTATTTTATATGATCATTTGCATATAGCTATTGAGCCCTTGTGATCCTTGCCTAAGAATAGCCTCTTTGGTCTCACTGTGTGAATGGTTAGAGTCCTGTGTAGTTTATCATGTCCAAGTATAATTTTTTTTGTTTTTTGTTTTTACCATCCATTATATTTACTTGTAGATTTGTAGGCATATTCTAATAATCTTTAAACCAGGACAATCTTGTGAAATATGGAAAACTGGAAGGAGGCAAAAATGTCTGGAAGACCAGTTAAATAACAAAAGACTCGGTGGGGTCCCTGTTTCCCTACCATTATTTCCTCTCAGAGGCTTGGCCTTTTTATCCATAAAACCACTTTCTTAGGTCTGCCATCTGCCATTTCTCTGGCTTTTTGTTTAAATAAACTCTGTTGAGTTTTAACCTGAATATTTATGTAGGGGCTCTGGTTAGAATTTACTGCTTGACTTTTATCCCTACTAATTTCCCTCTAGTCCCTAGGGATGTTTTTGGTGGTCAAAGTGGTATGGTGGTTCTTTCAAATCACTCAAAAGAACATCAGATTTGTGTAACATTATACAAACACCTGGCAGGAAAGAAGGAGCCTTGGAATTCCTGCTAGGAAGAAATGGTGGTAATGGGTTTTCATGTTGCTCCTCTTTTTCTAGTGAATCGCCCCTTGATATGTTTCTTGATTTTGATTTGACAGCTGGTGCGTGTGTGTGTGTGTGTGTGTGTGTGTGTGTGTGTGTGTGTGTCTGTGTGTGTGTGTACATGAAGATGAGCATACCTAATGTGTGATGCATCTTTACTAGGCAGGTGGTATATATCTTATAGGAAATATGTTTAGAAGACAAAAGACGTACTTGAGTTTTAGCTCTGCCAA